ATTAAATAGAAAAGAATTAGTTAATAATAAAACATTGTGACTTTTTCGAAAAAATTCATTTCCTATTTCGAAAAAAATCTTCGACATAACAAGGTTTTGAGAAGAAACTCTTCGACATAGTCATTCCAATTCTTATTAGGTGGATGTATAATATCGAGGAGAGAAATATTATTTCGGCATAACAAAGTTTTCGAGATATCGAGGGTATACTGTATAAGTATTGCAATACCGTGGAAGGATTTCAAAATTACTGGTGTTAAAGCTACGAAGAAGTTGTAAGCATTCAACGTTCCGTTTGAAACAGTCCAAACTTTGCATAGTTCAAAACTGTTTCTAAAACTTCGAATCTGATCTTTCAAATTGCGCCAATAGTTTTAAGTCATATAAAATCTTGCAAAACTTATGGTGCTAAAACAAAAAGCGTTTGTAGAGAGCAAGTCCATTGCTTTGATCGACTCCTGTGGAAAAAGGTTTGTCACTGACCCCTTCAAAATGAATAAGAACAGCAGGCCTGTCAACTACTACGGTTTTTGCAAAATATTTTATAGAGTAGTAGATATTTAAAAACCATAGCTTTCAAAATTTTGGTAATTTTGCTTTAAGCCTCCCCACGAGAGAAATGGAATAAAGTTTCTCAGCAAATGGAACAGCCCTGGAACAGGAAAAAATCGCTTCAGTTTTAAAATTTTCAATTTTATCAGTTGGCTCTGAGTTGGTATTCATGAAAGTTAATCTTAATTTTGTTAGGTTAAACTACTAAAAACGCGTTTTGCTTAATCTAATAACAATGTCTTCAAGAAGGAAAAAAATACATCTAAATCTTTTTCTTTTTTCTTAATGTCAGTAAGTCATATGAATTTTTTTTGTCTTTAAGTTTTGGGCAGCATTTTGAGGGGTTGTTCAGCCCATAATTAGCCTTTAAAATTACCAGATCAGAACTCTTACCAAGTTTAAGACAACTTAATGGATTAATTGGGTACTTTCACTTCAAGAAGAAGAAAACTTCCCATACCCACACATGTGACGTATAACGCCAGCTAATCTTTATCTGCAAAATGGAGTATTAGGGTAGGTAGGTACTTTATTTATGGTCACACTAGAGCTTCACAACGGTCTATGAAACATCCCTGAGGATGATCCGAAGACATGCCATCACAATTTTAATCCTCTGCAGAGCGGATGGCTATCCTGCTCTGGTAGCCTGACGACCTGCATGCGAAGTCGAGCCCCTTACGGTAGAACAGTTTAACGAGGACCGATACCGCGCAACATCGGTCCCTACTCAGGCTAATCAAAGTGGTCATCCACCATTACTAACTGCAGTCAGTGACGCTTGACTTCGGTGTTGGTCTGAGAACCGTGTCATTACGATCAGTCCACTGCGGGACAAATTTCGGTATTAAGTTGAGCAAGTTTCTCTACATGAGTTAGAATGTTATAATTAACTATAAGTTATTTAAATACAGCGCCCGCATTACTTAACTTAGATTTATTATTTGTTTATGTATTTCATTGGAACCGTGATATATTTTTTTTGTGTGTGTCTGGCAATTTCGGTGCATAATTAGTTTAATTAAGTTCCAATGGCTTCGTGCCTGTCCTTGTGTTAAGTTTCTGAGTAAATATGGAGTGAAAGAATTGAAATCTTTGAGAAAGAATATTTGTGAAAGAATTTTGAATGTGACACTTAAAAGAATTCTTTCTCGACGGTCTTGGCTTCCTCGAAATAGAATAGAAAGAACAATTGCTAACGTAAACAAATGCCACGTTTCAACAACCCATCGGGATCGAGATACCCACACTGCGTCGCATGCAAGTATCATGCAGAGGAAAGTTGTATTGGTGGTTGGGAAAAGAACCTGAAATGAGATAAAATAATGAAAGGCAACATGCGTAAGATGTAGCAGGCTTGATGGTGAGGCTCCTCACCTACATCTTTAGGGCTGGGAGATGAGTAATGAGATTTTTGTCTTTCAATAGTTCCTGAAGTTCTTTGATGATCCTTAGGAACTTCACTGCACAACTGGGGGCATCTTGTGGTCTACGCGTGAAAGTGCAATGGTTTCGCCTCGGTTGAGCACCATAGCCCGTAAAACAGGCCGGGTGATCTCCTTGACAATTGATGCATTTGGCCGGAGGGGAGAGAGGCTTCGCGCACTGGTAGGTAAAATGTGCTCCTGCACATTTCACGCAGGCTGGATCACTTGAGCATTATTTCTGTGTATGTTCAAATTTCTGGCCCTTGTAGCATTGAACGGCGTAACCACCTCCGCAGCAGATTCCTTGTGGAAATAAAATCCCGATGTTCTGGGAAGTCATGGAGTATCGCTAGAAAAAGGGGGAGGAGTTTGTATCCATTGCCACGCCTCTTTCTTAGTTGCTCTATCTTGATCCGTCGTCGACCATTGTCCTCTATATCTTCCAAAGATCATCCGTTTTCTCGGGAGATAATTGTCCTTGGTCGGTGGAAAAACCTCCGTCAATTCAGATTTGGATGAAGTGATCTCAGGTGTTGACTCAAGACGGGTAGAAATGGCCTCTTGGTTTCCGCTGGCATTTCGGCTTTTCTTTTTTCTCTTCCTCGGTCTTTCGGGGAGGGGGGACTTTAGGAACAGGCTCCCTTTCTATCCTTATCTCAGTAGATGGCTCGATTTGGGTAGTTTCTTGTTGAATCTAGCAGGAAGAAACAGTTTCCGTGGGTTCCGTCGTTTTTCAGGCAGATTTGACTTTTCCGTTTCCATGGGCATGGTCGATTCAGGTTCCACAGGGGACCGTAGATTCCTTGCTTGCTTTAGGTCGACGAGTTCCTGCTCGTAGGAAGTGAGTGCTTCCGGGTTAAGGGCATTATTCTCCTTCACTAGTTTATGACGAGCAACACGAGTAGAAATTCGCTGATCGATTTCTTCTATACTGCAATGGCTCAATGAGGGACCAGGGAGTTGTGAGGGTTGCCGTACGGACCTTTCGGTCCGCCGCTTCCCCCCACGGGCACATCGTTGGGATGACATAGTCGCAGAGCTCCAGATGGCGGTGAGACAGGTTGATTGATGATCAAGAACCTGGACAAACAAATACATAAAAGCAAAGCTACTCACCAGCTATGAATGCTCCAACTGAAGACTGGAGGACAAGTGGCTTGATTATATGGCTGAATGAGAGATGGCATGCCAACTGTGTTGTATTCAGGATTGCCACGGGCTATTAAAAATACTTTAAGTGGTGACTCATAAAATTCAAAATGTTATTAAGATGGGCAACTTTTTCTAACATAATTTTATATTTTAGTTTACTATTGAAAACGATTTCAAAGGGCGGTTTTGTTTTTAAATATCAATAATTTGAATTGTAAGTTATTATGGCAGTTACGATTGATTGATTAAAGAGATTATAAACAAATAAAAGTGAAATGAATTTCTACCACCTTTTATGTTTTTAGTCGCCCGTGGTACCCCTCTGTATTAGTCATTTTAAATTCGGATTTTCAGAGCTGCCAACTTGTTTCGTTTTGGGAAGAAAAGTATTTCTAGTGGTATCAAAATTAATTTTTAATTTACGATTCTCAGTAGACAACCTTAAATTATTTATGCCTTAGTTTACTATAAAATATAAATAATTCCATATCAAATTAAGATATCATATCTAAGTTATTATATTATCTTTTTCTACGAAAAGTATTAGGAAGGATTTAATTGTGTGACCAAGTTTTCTGTCTTTGAGAAAAAGACCGCTGTAATGGTTTTAAAGTTAGACATAAAAAAGGTAATATTGCATAAATATTTTTAAACAAACACAATGAATATCAAATAACACTGTGCATATCCGCACTGGTCAACTGTTGCAAAAACACAATATTTCGTTGTAAAGAACTTTTATGAATAAAGTAGTAATAGAACAATTTTTCTTAATCTTATTATCGTATGAAATAAATTTTCATTGCAATTATCTTGCAGAGATGCCAACTTGCTCCGGACAGCAAACATAGATTTTAAAGTGGTAGCTTATCAATTGTGATTCTTGGTTTAATAAATTCAATTTAGTAGATTTTTATCCACCACTATTTCTAAATAATTCGTTGGCTTATATAATTCACCACTTTATAGTCCTTACGTCATACTACGCCTATTTAAAAGCAAGCAAAAATAGTCAAATATTTGCAAAATTTATTTTGTAGTTATTTTGGCGTGTCCGGGGCAGTTGGCATCTTTGATCTTGTGGTGAGACTTTTGAAGAAAGGGAGAAATTATCCTTATTCTACAAATTTAATTATTAAATTCGCTACCAATTTATTAAAACTTTAGCAGAAAGTGGAGCAGTTGACATTTCTGTATCTGTTTAAAAGAGAATTACTGTATATCCTTTTCAGTCAAAATTCGTTACCTCGAAACGCTAATGTTTTTACTAAAAAAAGTATTTCTCAGCGGAAGTACAAGCTGGCAGCTATTGGAATCACGTTTCTTGCAGGCCAGGATAGCCTAGTTGGTAAGGCGTTGGTTGGACTCATGAACAAGAGATCGCGAGTTCGATCCTCGGTGGCAGAAGATTCTCCGTGTAGTAAATGGTGACTGGTGCACGTTAAATATGTCGGGTGACAAAGTCCTCCATGTTCCCATAACAAATAATTCCTCTGGGAATACTGAATTGGAGATGGATGATTCTCTGCTTCAGGTCAAAATTACAATTTGTGGATGTATGAATGGCTTCGTCCTATAAATAGGTTGTGACGAGTGTGTAGCTGAAATTGAATTCTTGGTCATAGATGGCGCCACTGGACAACAAGAATAATCGCACCAATTCCCTTAATGGCCTACGACAACAACGTTAAAATTGCTTAATAAAGCAAAATACTTTCTTTCACCAATTACAAAAAAAAAAAATTTAAAACTCACACTGACAATTTTGATTTGTCCGATTTTTCTCGAATTAATAACTTATTACTATTAATACAAATCTGAGATAATTCGGGACATTCGAGGTATATGAGTGCTTTTTCTCTCAAATAGGTAAACGCCAGTGAGGCCATCGAGATGTTGATACCTGATAATGAGACGGACTTGTTGCTGTCCTGCAGAACAGAGCGAGGTTTCTATTTGCCCTTGGACGTGTACAGACAAGACACTTGTGCCAGATGCTATTTCTATCTGCCGCCATTTGCATTCCACAATGAAGATGCCAGGTTACGGTGAGTGAACCACTTAATACTATTCTACCCTGAGGTTTAACCACCTTGAGTATTTTAAAATGCTGTTTGAACTAACTAATGTAATCGTTTAAAATACACGTTGGAAATACAGCGAACATCAGAGCACTGTTGGGTTGCGGCATTAACAGATCCGTGGATTTTAATGAGTCAATAATGGGAGAATTGTGATGAGGATATAAAGCAGAGTGCCTGGCACCAAGAAAATTACAACAAAGAGTTGTCATAATTGGGTTAGTCATATAGTACAAACGAATAATCATAATAAAAATTAATAAAATTGCAATTAGTACACAATAAAATGATACGAAATGCATTGGATAATAAGCGATATTAAATACGTATTGTTCTGGGATATAAGATATATTTACAAAGCTATAAGCAAAAATAAAAAATAACATAAACTTATACAAAATGACATAATAGTAATTAATCAGCAATTCGTCTGTCTAAGTCATCTGTACCTCTGTTAGAATGATGACACAGGCATCCCGGTTGAAACCGCTCGTACTCTAGGTTGTTCATCACACTAAAGTTAGCAATATATTATTCCCGCTGCAGCGACCCCTAAGGGTTACTCGCGTACAGCGGTTCCAATCAATTGTTGTGCTTATCTGTGTATGTAATTTTGTGTGAGTAGTGAGCTAACACTAAGAGTGTTGAGAGGGATTGGGGCTACTCCATGTTACTAAGGGAGAAAGAATTAATAGGCTGAATCTAGTATTATCTTCAGTGAGATCAATATATAATAGTAGATTGAATTCACTAATAGTAGAGTTGTAAACTTTGTCGCTTAAATTGGCGTTTAGTCTCTTGATATAATCGTTGATGTTGCCGATATTTAAGTCTTTTATAGCTAATGCACCTACCATTCTTCTTATAATTCTGCCTTATGTAATGGAGGGCTTATTTTTAAGGGTTTTATTCAGGATCGTGATTGCTGGGCAAGCATAAGTTAGGATGGGCTGAATAGCCATGAGATAAACAGTATTTTTACATTCTAAATCACCGAGGTGGATGAATTAAAATATGGTGAAATTTGATGAAGAGCCTCAGAGCTCAAATAAATCTTGTCAGGCTAAATTAAGCCTTACCTATTGAAACGCAGTGCTATAAGCGAAAGCAGAGAGTACGCCGCACTTTACTATACTCATACTCAACGAAGTGTCGGGTTTTATGTTACAGTTTAGGGCCCAGTAAGCAGTTTAAAGTACACAATTCAGCATTTTTAAATCATTTCTTAAATAATGTGGTTACTGATTATTAAGGTATAAGAAATATTTTTAATTTGAGAGAGGTTAAAGTAGATGGTGCTTCAGAGGCGAGATCGGAGTGCAAAAAGGTTAAATTTTGTATGCCAACCAAATGATAGTATAATAGTAATAGTTTATATAATAGTTATTATAATAGTATCTATAAAAGCTAGTTTATAATACTGTGGAAAGCCGAAATTTGTGTATAGCAAAGATCTTCATGTCAACTTTCAGATTATCGCATAGGTGAAAATCTGAAATGCAGTGAAATCTCTAGGAAAAACCACCTCTATGTAGCGATCATCTCTATTTGCGATCACTTTTGGGAGGCACGGAATTTTTTTTCCATAGACTTTGTGTTAAGGAAAACTTTTAGGAGAGACCATTAAAACCTCTCCCAGAGACCGGACAAATGTTTGCACTAAATGCGGAAAAGGTCAGATAAGGAAACACGAAAAAGTATCCAGACGAAAAATTAAAACAAAGAAGTAGCTTAAAATGTATGCAAAATATTTGTGTGAGACACTTATTTAGAGAATTCTTTTTGACGATGACAGAGGGCGCTAAAAACGATGCCATCTATGATTTACTTTTAGAGCTGAAAATTAAATTGGAAAAAAAAGTAATTTTACAAAAACGAGAGCTTCAAACAAATCTCTTCTTATCTTTTATAGGTAACTAGGTGTACCCTGCGTGCGTTTCAACGCTTTCAATTTGAATTTGAATTTTGTATTTAAGTGTGTAAATGACATTTGCGATTATGATTTGAAATGCAAATTTTATTTAATGGTGAAAAAAAGCAGTTAATTCTCTAGGATATCATTAGTGCATTTTCAAACAGACATGTATGGTGATGCACACGGAGCATGAAACATATTTTGGACAATGATCTGAAATAAGACTGGATCTATGGTGACATCAAGAATTTCTGCTGATATCTGATNAGAAAATGATAGTGATCAAAATTAAAATCCTTTGCGAAAAATCATGTATCTTCTATAACAATTTTGAAGTCAATGGATGTAACCTCCAATAACGACCCACTTCTATCAGCGAGCATTTTACAGTGGATCGGAAAAGGGTCGGCCTCTCCCGTGAGGTTTTCACTGTATCTGTTACACTTCATCCATGGGCCTTAACTTGTTAAAAAATATCATTGAAGGCAATATCAGACCAGTATAGGCCTAAATCAGTATAAGACCACTATATGCCTGCAAATGACATTAATGTGCATTTTTGTCACAGTTTCTGAATTGCGCGGTTTCCACTCTATCCCACTGCTTCCGGGCTAACTAACGCAGTGGCGTGACAGCCCATAGAAGGCCTACTGTGCCCATCTTATTTTTGCATTTAGTAGTCAATCATTTATTTTGATGAGGTCGGGGGAACCCCGTATAAGAAGATGCTAATTTTAATATTTTAACGTGTTTTAAAGAACGGACCAATCAATTTCCTCTATCACCGCAAAGATTTAGAAATGTATTGCAACTATAGAAGTGTGATATATTATCTAATTGAAGCGGCTGCGTTCAAATTGCTTTTATGACTAAGTTTGCTACCACTTAAATATTTTAGCGGGCTTTTGGAAGTTCCAGCATCTGCACAAACTCTTCTAGAAAGTATATCTCGCCCGATTCGAAGAAATTTAATTCTCTTCCTCACATCATTTCCTTCAAAAAAGTGTCGACCAAAGAGTTGCAGAATTTTCAGGTAATATTTAATTTAAAAGATAGGGAAACTAAATTTTTTTTAAGTATTTTAAATAATTAATTATTTATCGCTATTCATTTCTTATATCACTTAAATCATTATTAGATTTATATTAGTACTTTCTTATTGATAATGAAACAACTTGAAAAAAATATATAATAATGATACCGCTTTTTAAGTTAAACTTTATGTGACTATAGTATTGCTATCAGCTCAGATAAGTTGCGATAACGGCAAGCGACTGCAGGTATAATTTAAAAAAGCTGGTTTGTTGGCTGGCAAAATTGTAAGTTAAATATTTATTGATTATCTCTAGAACCTCTTCATGCCGGGCGAGTCTTCTCAGGGTGAGGATAATCAGGGTAAAAAATATAAAACTGGTAACCAAACTATTTTAATAGTAATTTATTTGTGGGCGGGGTAATAATAGTTTACTTTATTTAATTCATCGCTACTTAGTTCGAATTAAAAATTGTACAGTTACACTTTTAACACACAAGGATTGGATGCGTTAGATTTAAAGTGAAAGCAAAAATAAGTCGTGTCAAATTAGCTGTGCCCAAATTTAAGCTACCGCTTTTTATTTTTTACTATTCTGATTCCGTAGGACTATATTTATGCCTCGTCCGTTCCTAAAAGGTAAAACAATCTATTGTCACTACCCCTATGGCTTAAATCCTAAATTATTCATATTTAAATTCAAAACATTTATAACATTCCCTTTCATTACTAAGCTGAAAAAAGCATTCTGTAAAAAAGTGCTAATTTTTATCTTTAATTGACTTTTTCAGTTTTAAAAATCTTCCTTTTTTTTTAGTCACCCTGGGGATGCAGCTTAGCTTCCCTCAAAGCATGTTTTGTAATTTTGATGCAGGAAATTTTAAATGTGCGTTTTATTTTGTTTATTATAAATATCTTTATTTTGTAAATATCTTATATTTGGTAATAAGTGTATATTGATAAATAAGTGGTTTTAATAAATATCTTTAAACTTGGAGGCTTAAATCAACTTGGATTATATTTGCTTAGCTAAGAATCGAAAATGTAAGCACATATTTTGTTGCCACTCGAAAACTTTTCTCCCAAATTGAAGCAAGTTATAGCCTCCCTGTTATACTTAAAAAGCTTTTTTATCCCGTATTTATAAAACAAATGTTTCTTCGGACAAATTAATACCCAAGATTTTTTTTATCAAAAACCTCTGTGATGTTATTACCAAAGATATCTGTAAATTTCTCTACTCCCACAGCCTCCTGTACAGTTCCTCCTTTTTTTTCGAGGGAAATGAGGATGTTTTGAGGAGAATAGAATTGAATTTTTTTACAGGCAAGGGAGGCAATGTTTCCTATGTATTTTTTACTCTCAATCGAATGAGAATGTACACGAGTCATTAGACTGAATTATATAAAAAGTACTATACCTGATATGACATAGTATACTTCTTACTTTGCTGTTTGAAGTCTATCTGAATATGTAAGGTACACTTTCTGAGGAAATTTTTAATATTCAATTCAAAGAGATATAATTTGAGTTGATGGAAAATTGAGGTAAATAAATAATAAATTCTTGCCGATTTTTGATTGGAGGAGCTTTCAAAGACCCGCAAAATGTATACTGCAAAATAAATTTAATTATTCACTTTAACTGACAGCTAATTAATAGCCATGCTACTACTTAGTTGTCCGATTTTATTTTGTAATTAGTATATTAGTTTTTTTATAATTAGTTTTTTTTTGTTCTTTGTTGTATGAGCTCGCCTACGACAGGATGTAATTCGAAAGTTCTTATTCATTTAGTATAAGAATTCTTCATGTAAGAAAGTGTTCTAAACGTAAAAAAAAGTATTGAAAATTATATAGTTTTGGAAATTAATCAACGAAATAAAAGATGATCCATGCCCATCATTATATACTAAGTGAACAAATTAATATGATCATTCGACACTTTTATGCAAAATGAGCAATCGCGGCACAGTGTTGCCGCTTAAGGGGGAGATAGCTACAAAAAGTTAATGCCAGG